GAACAAAGCAAAGCTCGTGGTGGATCTCAAGATCACCACGCAGTCCGAGAACAAGTAAGAGGCCACAAGGCCAGTTCACATGCAACGACATAGCAAATATAGAAGATGCAAGAGTACAAGACATGCATGACAAGCATCTCTACAAAAGCAAGGGGCCACAAGGCCTGTCCAAAAGCAGAGATATAGGATATATAGTGAGATGAAAGAGCACAAGACAAATCATCTCTACGCAAGCAAGTGAGGGCCTGTAGACACAAGGCCTAGCCGGGTGCAAAAACGCACAAAGACAGCCAGCGAAGCTCCTGGGCGGCCATGGCCGCAGCGTACACCTTTGCCTTACAGCTGTAACTAAAGACGGATGACGCCCGAGTCGACCTCCACGAAACAGCTCCGGACCCAAAGCTGAAGCAGTAACCCTGTGTAGACCGCAGCGACTCTGCGTCGTCGGCCCACAACGAGTCCGAGAAACCTGTGAGTGTAACTGGCTGCATCCCTCCAAGGACAAGTCACATGCCTGATGTACTCGCCACATACTTTGCCACCCTCTTAGCAGCGTACCAGTGGGAAAGTCGGTGTCTCCCAGGCGCAACAAAGCGTGCAAGGACGCTAAGAGGGTAAGCTAGGTCCAGGCGAGTACAGGTCATCAGGTACATGAGACAACTCACCAGCTCAGGATATGGACCACTGGACTCAAATGGCTCATCCGAAGGTGGAGCCGTGAGCCCATGATCCACAGTAAGAGGGGTGGGCTCTTCCTTGGAGAAGGGGAAGTGAAACCGCGTGAGGATCGGCTCGACCATATGCGACTGCGTCAGCGTAATGGTGCGAGCTGCTCTGTCCCTGGTGATCTGCACGCCAAGGTAGCGCTGCAACTCACCAAGTTCGGTGCAAGTGTGTCTCCTCTGCAGTTCCTCCTCCACGGAGGCCAGTGCGCGTCGGTCGGGAGTGGCGAAGACCAGGTCGTCATCGTAAACCAGAACAAAGAACCGGGTCGAGCTACGATAGATGAACATCGACGGGTGTGCAGACGACGGAAAGAAGTTAAACGCTGCAAGAGGCGTGCGAAGTGTGTCGTGCCACTCACGGGGAGCCTGGCACAGGCCGTAGCCCGGTCGACGTAGCTTTCACTGGGTCCTAGCAAGGAACAAGCCAGTGAAGCCAGGCGGGCAACGCAGCCAGGTCTGCTCGTGCAGACTCCCCTGAAGGAACGCTGTGGAGTAGTCCAAGGAGTGTAACTCGTAGTCGTGCTGAGCTGCAATATGCAGCAACATGCGAAGGGTAGTCATCTTGGGGGTGGGAGCGAAGGTCTGGAAGAAGTCTACCCCCTCACGCTGACTGAAGCCTCTCGCCACATAGCGCGCCTTGAACACCGGTGGTGATCCAGGTGGCCGCTTCACGTTGTGGAGCCACATGCCACTGACGACGTTCGTCTCAGGTGGTGGGACGGCGTCGGCGTAGGTGCCTGTGGACCTATAAGATGCCATCTCTGCCTCCTCAGCTGCTATCAAGTACGAAGCCCAGGGTCCCGAGACCGCCTCGGCGTGAGTGCGAGGGATCGGGATGTCAAGGGCGTCTGGATCCCCCTCAGGGGCAAGCAGCAAGGCGCAGAGATGAGGAACAGCGGCCGCCAGGAAACCAAGCTCGAACTGCCTGTCCTCGAGGACCTCCAGGGGAATGACAGGAGCACCCCCAGAGGACGGAGAACGAGCAGGGCCACTCACCAGGTGAGAGGCGTTGTCAAAGCGGTGGGAAGGGCATAGCCACTGACAGTGGTAACAAGAGCTGAGATTAACAACGGGTGGGCCCTTGGGTGAGTGACCAACGCGGACAGAACACGGGAGACGACAGGACGGGAGGCACGGAGGTAGTCGGACAACGGTTAAAGATACACAGTGAGGGACGACTCAGGACGCTGTGGAAGGACCGAGACAGGTGGAACACGAGAGCGGAGAACAAGGTGAAACGGACCGTCTACACTGTAACGGGACCGACGGAGCACTGTCGCTGGCTTTGCCTCTTCCCACCACCTTGACTACGCTGCTCACTTGGTGAGTGGCCCTGCTCGTTCTCCGTTCTCTAAGGGTGCTCCTGTTTTTCCCCTGGAGGTCCTCGAGGACAGGCAGTTCGAGCTTGGCTTCCTTGCGGACGCTGTTCCTCATCTCTGCGCCATGCTGCTTGCCCCTGAGGGGGATCTAGACGCCCTTGACATCCCGATCCCTCGCACTCACGCTGAGGCGGTCTCGGGACCCTGGGCTTCGTACTGGATAGCAGCTGAGGAGGCAGAGATGGCATCTTATAGGTCCACAGGAACCTACATCGACGCCGTCCCACCACCTGGGGCGAACGTTGTCAGTGGCATGTGGCTCTACAAGGTGAAGCAGCCGCCTGGAGCACCACCGATGTTCAAGGCGCGCTACGTGGAGAGAGGCTTCTGTCAGCGAGAGGGGGTAGACTTCTTCCATACCTTTGCTCCCACCCCGAAGATGACCACACTTCGGGTGTTGCTGTATATTGCAGCTCAGCGCGGCTACGAGTTGCACTCCTTAGACTTCTCCACCGCGTTCCTACAGGGGAGCCTGCATGAGCAGATCCGGCTGCGTCGCCCGCCTGGCTTCACTGGCTCTTTCCCTCCTGGGACCCAGTGGCAGCTGCGTCGACCGGTCTACGGCCTGCGCCAGGCCCCCGCGAGTGGCACGACACGCTACGTACGACCCTTGCAGCGCTTGACTTCTTTCCCTCGGCTGCCGACCCGGGTCGCTGTTCGTCCGCCGTGGCTCTACCCCGTTCTTTGTTCTGGTCTACGTTGACGACCTGGTCTTCGCCACACCCGACCGACGCGCCCTGGCCTCCGTGAAGGAGGAACTGCAGAGGAGACACACTTGCACTGACCTTGGTGATCAGCAGCGCTACCTTGGCCTGCAGATCACCTGGGACAGGGCAGCTCGCACCATTACGCTGACGCAGTCGCATATGGTCGAGTAGATCCTCACGCGGTTTCACTTCCCGTTCTCCAAGGTACAGCCCACCCCTCTTGCTGTGGATCATGGGCTCACGGCTCCACCTTCGGACGAGCCATTTGAGTCCAGTGGTCCATATCCTGAGCTGGTGGGTTGTCTCATGTACCTGATGACCTGTACTCGCCCTGACCTAGCTTACCCTCTTAGTGTCCTTGCGCGCTTTGTTGCGCCTGGGAGACGCCGACCTTTCCACTGGTACGCTGCTAAGAGGGTGGCGAAGTATGTGGCGAGTACATCAGGCATGGGACTTGTCCTTGGAGGGAAGCAGCCAGTTACACTTACAGGTTTCTCGAACTCGTCGTGGGCCGACGACGCATAGTCGCTGCGGTCTACACAGGGTTACTGCTTCAGCCTTGGGAGCTGTTTCGTGGAGGCCGACTCGGGCGTCGCCCGTCTCTAGTTCCAGCTGTGAGGCAGAGGTGTACACTGCGGCCATGGCCGCCCAGGAGCTTCGCTGGCTTACTTTCCTCCTCACCGACCTTGGTGAACGGCCTCGCTCTCCCCCAGTCTTGTTCGCCGACAACAGGTCTGCTATCCTGTTGTGCGAGGAGCCCCTACTAGTTGGGAAGGCGAAGCACATCCAGCTTCATTACTTCCTTCTGCGAGAGTTGTAGCAGCGTGGCCAGGCACTCGTGCGACATGTTGTCTCTGAGGCCAACACTGCAGATATCTTCACCAAGGCATTGCCGCCTTGTGACCACCAGCGTTTCTACACCCAGCTTGGTCTTGTGTCTACAGGCCCTCAGTTGCTTTCGTAGAGATGCTTTGTCTTGTACTATGGCATCTCACTATATATCCTATATATGTGCTTGTGGACAGGCCTTGTGGCCCCTTGCTTTTGTAGAGATGCTTGTCATGCATGTCTTGTTCTCTTGCATATCATTGCATGTGGACTGGCCTTGTGGCCCCTTGCTTGTTCTCGGACTGTGTGGTGATCCTGAGATCCACCCCGAGAGTTGCGTTGTTCTTGTGAACTGGTCTTGTGACCGTTGCTTGTTCTTGCTGACTGGTCCTGTGACCCTTGCTCTTGGGTTGTGTGTTGCTCTCCACAGGACTAGCGTCACCTAGACTATGGGGGTATGTCAAACTGTAATTGTTATAGTTTGTTAGTTTAGTCTAGGTGTTACACTGAGTTATGCTGTAGAGGGTATAACCCCCTTAGGGTTTGCTATATGCTCCCTTGCACTACTTGTTTCGACTCAATTCATTATCTTGTTACCTCGTTGACATGCAGCGGCATGAGGACGGTGCAGTCGCGAAAGAAAGGGCTGGATGCTCCAGAGTCTAGGATGAAGGAAAGCTATGCAGTCGGTGAGGTCGCACCCAAGCCAGCGACAAAGGCTGGTACTAGACTGGTGGTAGCTGCAGCTCCCACACAAAGACCCTCAGAGGCGCCTAGACTGGAAAGTACACACGCACCAAGACTGGAAATATAGGTCTCTACTGGTGCTGTCGGGAAAGGTCCTACACCACGTAGGTGAGACCCAACTGGTGTAACAGTGCCCTGGCGAAGACGCGAAGGCCAGTGTGGTGTAACAGCATAAGGACCAAAGCGCTCACGGTGAAGGTCGTCGAGGCGACGGTAGCAGCGGGACGCAGAGTGGTCAGGATTCTAGCAGGTAGTGCCAGCACCGGGTCCGGTCAGAATCCTGTAGCCGCAGGGACCAACGTCGCGCCTACTGCTGGCTGAGCCGCTGCTGGGGCCGGTGCTCCTAGGTCCCCACTGCCGGGGGTGCTGCAGCTGGCCCTGTTGCTGTAGGACTCTAGTAGACGCTATGTGTGGGTCGAGGAACGGGGTACGGGTACAGTCTAGCGCGGTTGTATGCGGTTGGAAGCGGTCCAGTGCGGTACCGGGCGGTCCAATGGGAGCTAGAAAAAATAAGGAGCGGTTCTTGCAGGTCTAGAGCGGAGGTGAAGCGGTCAAGAGTGGGCGGGTGGGGCTTAAGCCAGGTGACAGGTGGGGCAACGGGTGGGGCAGCGGGTATGGGTGGGGTAGCAGGTGGGGTGGCTGGTTACGGGTGTGGCGGCTGGTTACGGGTGGGGCAGCGGGAACGGGTGGAGCAGCACTTGGGGAGGCGGGTTTCAGGTCGTGGGGTGGCGGGTTTCAGGTGGGGCGGCGGTTTCAGGTCGTGGGGCGGCGGTTTCAGGTGTGGGGCGGCGGGTTTCAGGTGTGGGGCGGCGGTTTCAGGTCGTGGGGCGGCGGTTTCAGGTGTGGGGCGGCGGGTTTCAGGTGTGGGGTGGCGGGTTTCAGGTGTGGGGCGGCGGGTTTCAGATGTGGGGCGGTGGTTTCAGGTCGTGGGGTGGCGGGTTCCAGGTGGGGCGGCGGTTTCAGGTCGTGGGGCAGCTGGGGGGTGGCGGGTTTCAGGTGGGGCGGCGGTTTCAGGTCGTGGGGCGGCGGTTTCAGGTGTGGGGCGGCGGGTTTCAGGTGTGGGTTGGCGGGGTTCAGGTGTGGGGCGGCGGGTTTCAGGCAGCGGGCGACGGGTTTCAGCAGGGCGACGGGGCGCCCTTCTAACGCGCGATTCGGGGGGCTTGCGGGGCCCTTCCTAAGTCGCGACGTGGGGGACCCGAAGTCAAGCTATATTTGTTATAACTTATATTTGTTAGTCTAGGTGTGCTTTCTGTTTTCCTAGGGTAAGGATTACGTTTGCTATTTCTTTCTTGTACCTTGTTTTCCTTAGTCATTCTTACGTTTTCATATCTTGACATGGTATAGAGCGAGATTTCCCCTTGCTAGGATTTCACCTAGCGGGACCTTTTTTTTTCTCTCTCGATAGTTAAGGGCCCACCGAATTGCGACCCGTCCTAGATCGTCCCCCCCCCCCCCCCCCACACCCCCCTTACCGCGCCTCCTAAGCCGTTTTGCCCCGAGCGCGTCACCCGTTTTTTTGCCCCGCGCGTTTTGCCCGCCAGCCCGCTAGCGCGCAGCAAACGCACGCGCGCGTGCAGCCTTAGTGGCACGCGCAACTGCGCGCACGCATAGCCACAGCCGCTCGCACGCGCAACTCACCTGAAAACCCGTCGCGCACTGCCTTAACCCGCCGCCCCACCAACTAGAACCCGTCACACACTGCCTTACCTACCGCCCCACCCGTTCCCCACTGCCCCAGGACCTGTAACCCTCCGCTCCCTCACCTGAAACCCGCTGCCATTTAGACTGCTTAGCACCGCCTACACCACCGCCAGAGCACTAGCAACAGCTTAGACTACCGCCAGCAGCACTAGCAGCAGCATAGGCTACCCCCAGCGCACCAGCAGCAGCATAGGCTCATCCGTAGCCTGCTGCCACACCTGTAACCAGCGGCCCCACCTGTAACCCGCAGCCCCACCTCTAACCCGCTGCCCCACCTGTAACCCGCCAGAAGCACTAGCAGCTGCATACACTGCTGCCAGCAACACTAGCAAGCAGCTTAGACTGCCGCCAGTAGCACCAGCAGCAGCTTACACTGCCGCCAGCGCACTAGCAGCAGCTTAGACTGCCACCAGAGCACCATCAGCAGCTTACACTGCCGCCAGCGCACTAGCAGCAGCCTAGGCTGCCCCCAGCAGAACCAGCAGCAGCATAGGCTGCCCCCAGCAGAACCAGCAGCAGCATCGCCTGCCCCCCAGCAGAATCAGCAGCAGCATAGGCTGCCCCCAGCGCACCAGCAGCAGCTTAGGCTGCCCCCAGCAGAACCAGCAGCAGCATAGGCTGCCCCCAGCGAACTAGCAGCAGCTTAGGCTGCCCCCAGCAGAACCAGCAGCAACATAGGCTGCCCCCAGCAGAACCAGCAGCAACACAGGCTGCCCCCAGCAGAACCAGCAGCATCATAGGCTGCCCCCAGTAGCAACAGCAGCAGCATAGGCTGCCCCCAACAGCACCAGCAGCAGCTTAGGGTTTCTGCCAGAACCACCCCCCGTTTCTAGCTCCTCACATGGCGTGTACTAGGGTTCTACAGCAGCAGGGCCAGCCGCAGCACTCCCGGCAATGGGGACCTGCGGGTACCGGGCCTTGACTGGCCTGGTGGTGGCACTACCTGCTGGGATCCTGACCACGCTGCGTACCGTTGCTACCGTCGCCTCGACGACCTCCACCGTGAGCGTTTTGGTCCTCACGCTATTACACCGCACTGGCCTTCGCGTCTTCGCCAGCGCACTGCTGCACCAGTAGAGTCTCACCTACCTGTTAAAGGACGTTTCCCGGCTGCACGAGTAGAGACTTGTGTGTCCAGTCTTGGTGCGTGTGTAGTGTCCAGTCTAGGCGCCTCTGAGGGTCTTTGTGTAGGAGCTGCAGCTACCACTAGTCTAGTACGCTGTTTCTTTCGCGACTGCACCGACCTCACGCCACTGCGCACTCCAGTCATTCTCGCTTCAGCTGACCCCTCTGTGGGACCTGTAGTTGCCCGCAGCACCACCACTCTCCCGTGTCCGGCGGCTCCCTCTGGGTTTCTCACAGGTTACTACACCCCCTCGTTCTTCAGGAACCTAGTGGGTGTCAGTCACCTCCACGACCTAGGTCTAGTCACTACTTTCCCACCGGACGAGACTGTTGCCTCCTGCACAGTTGGTGCCACTGGGGAGCCTCTGGCCACTTTCCACAGGGAGCCGGGCTCTGGTCTATACTCACTACACACTAGGTCCCACCACACTGGGTCGTGTCAGGTCAGGTCAGGCCAGGTAGCTGCTGTGTCATGCGACTGTCGGTCACTCACCCACTCGTCGGTCCTCTGGCACCACCGTCTAGGTCTCCCGTCCTTCCCGCGTCTCGGTAAGATGGTACGTCACCGTCTGGTCTCAGGTCTTCCAGAGTCGCTCGCCCCGCTTCCCCGCTCGCCTGTGCCGCCGTGCACTCCTTGCGTCGAGGGTCGGCAGCGTGCTGCCCCTCACTCTTTCTCGTTCCCCCCCACCACGGCTCCCTTACAGACCCTGCGCAGTGACGTCTGGGGGTGTGGGGGTGGAGACCTTTCCTGTGGAGGACAAGGCTTTCTTGACTCGGCGGCCTCGCCCCGCCTCACCTCGTGGCTTCCCGTCTGTCCCACAGTTCCGTCCCCCGTCGGCTCTGCGACCGGTTGCTGCGGAGCCTGGGGGTGTTCCTACGGGAGGTACTGGAGCCACCGGGGGTGTCGTTGCTGGAGGTTCTGGTTTTGGGGGTGCTGGAGCCGGAGACACGGGCACTGCGACGCCTACACCGCGCACTGTATGTTTCCTGACCTGTGTGCAGCGACTAGAGCGGTTTGAGAGGGCACGACAGCAGCAGCAGCAGCTGGAGCAGCCTCAGGCGCAGCAGGAGAGAGTGGAGGAGGAGTCACAGCCGCAGCAGCAGGTTCAGTTGCAGCCGCAGCAGCAGCAGCAGCAGCAGCAGCAGCAGCACCAGCAGCAGCAGCAGCGGGAGCAGTCTCAGTCGCAGCATCAGGAGAGGGTAGAGGAGGAGCCACACCGCAGCAGGAGAGAGTGGAGGAGGGGTCACAGCCGCAGCAGAAGAGGGTAGGGGAGGAGTCACGGCCGCAACAGGAGCGGGTAGTGCAGGAGTCCCGGCCGCAGCAGCAGGTGCAGCTGCAGCCGCAGCAGGAGAGGGCAGAGGAGGAGCCACAGGAGCAGCAGCAGGGACAGGTGCCGTCGCAGCAGACACCAGCGGAGGCGGTGCAGCAGCGACTGCACGACCTGCCCGACCCAGCACCTGCACGCTTTGTTCGTGGTCCCCTACCGTCCCCTCCTGTTCCCCCTGTCGAGTCCCTTTCCTCGTCCCCGTGGACTCGTCGTTCTCCCCTCAGTCGTGCTGTGTCTCCAGAGCCTCGTCGGTCTCGTTACCGTGCTGATGGCCCGTTTCACCTTGTACTCCGCTCTCGTGTTCCACCTCCTCCAATCCTTCCACGGCCTCCTAAGTCGTCCCTTACTGTGTTTACTGACCAACTGTCCGACTACCTTCGTGCCTCCCGTCCTGTCATCTCCTGTGTTTTGTCCTCGTTGTTCACTCACCCGATTGCCCCCCCGCTGTTTGTCTCGGCTCTTGTTACCACTGTCACTGGATTTGCCTCTTCCCACTGTCTTGACTACGCCTCCCTCCTGGTGAGCGGCACTACTCGTCTCCGTGCACTGGGGGGGCTCCTATCTTTCCCTTGGACGTCCTGGAGGACCAGTAGTTTGAGCTTGGTTTCCTGGTGGTCGGTGTTCCTCATCTCTACGCCATGATGCTTGCCCCTGAGGGGGATCCAGACGCCCTTGACATCCCGATCCCTCGTACTCAGGCCGAGGCGGTCTCGGGACCCTGGGCTTCGTACTGGATAGCAGCTGATGAGGCAGAGATGGCATCTTATAGGTCCACAGGCACCTACGTCGACGCCGTCCCACCACCTGGGACGAACGTCGTCAGTGGCATGTGGCTCTACAACGTGAAGCGGCCGCCTGGATCACCAACGGTGTTCAAGGCGCGCAGGCTTCAGTCAGCGCGACGGGGTAGACTTCTTCCAGACCTTCGCTCCTACCCGAAGATGACCACTCTTCGGGTGTTGCTGCACATCGCAGCTCAGGGCGACTACGGGTTACACTCCTTGGGCTTCTCCACAGCGTTCCTTCAGAGGAGCCTGCACGAGCAGATCTGGCTTCGTCGCCCGCCTGGCTTCACTAGCTCTTTCCCTCCTGGGACTCAGTGGCAGCTGCGTCGACCGGTCTACGGCCTGCGCCAGGCTCCCCGTGAGTGGCACGACACACTTCGCACGACTCTTGCAGCGCCTGAATTCGTTCGGTCTTCTGCGGACCAGTCACTCTTCGTCCGTCGTGGCTCGACCCCGTTCTTTGTTCTGGTTTACGTCGACGACCTGGTGTTCGCCACTCCCGACCGACGCGCACTGGCCCCCACGAAGGAGGAACTGCAGAGGAGACACACTTGCACTGACCTTGGTGAGCTGCAGCGCTACCTTGGCCTGCAGATCACCAGGGACAGGGCAGCTCGCACCATTACGCTGACGCAGTCGCATATGGTCGAGCAGATCCTCACGCGGTTTCGCTTCCCGTTCTCCAAGGTACAGCCCACCCCTCTTGTTGTGGATCATGGGCTCACGGCTTTACCTTCGGACGAGCCATTTGAGTCCAGTGGTCCATATCCTGAGCTGGTGGGTTGTCTCATGTACCCGATGACCTATACTCGCCTAGACCTAGCTTACCCTCTTAGTGTCCTTGCACGCTTTGTTGCGCCTGGGAGAGACCGACCTTCCCATTGGTACGCTGCTAAGAGGGTGGCGAAGCATGTGGCGAGTACATGAGACATGGGACTTGTCCTTGGAGGGAAGCAGCCAGTTACACTCATAGGTTTCTCGGACTCGTCCTGGGCCGACGACGCAGAGTCGATGCGGTGTACACAGGGTTACTGCTTCAGCCTTGGGGCCGGAGCTGTTTCGTGGAGGTCAACTCGGGCGTCGTCCGTCTCTAGTTCCAGCTGTGAGGCAGAGCGTTGCGGCCATGGCCGCCAAGGAGCTTCGCTGGCTGTCTTTCCTCCTCACCGACCTTGGTGAGTGGCCTCGCTCTCCCCCTGTCTTGTTC